CTTTGTCCCCCTCTCTATGGGATTCAATCAATGTTGGTCAAAGCATATCATTACTTAAACTGTCAGAATATGGTGCTGAGTAGGAATGGCACCGCATTATTCATTCAGTCCCTTTATCGAGGATCTACTATGCACCTACATTTATCTATTTCTAATTATTAGTACACATTTTCAAATTTGAACTTCTATGTGAAGAGGTACATAAAAATATAAATTATTGGCTAGGTGTGGTAGCTCACACTTATAATCCTTATAAGCCCAACACTTTGGGAGACCAAGGTGGGTGGATTGCTTGAGCCCAGGAATTTGAGACCAGCCTGGACAACATGGTGAAACTCTGTCTCTACAAAAAAATTAAAAATTAGCTGGGCATGGTGGCATGCACCTGTAGTCCCAGCTACTAGGGAAGCTGAGGTGGGAAGATCGCTTGAGCCCTGGAGGCAGAGGTTGCAGTGGGCTATGATTGCACCACTGCATTCTAGTCTGGGAAATAGAATGAGAATCTGTCTCAAAAAATGTACATATTAAAAACGTATAAACCCTTACTCATCACAGAAAACAGTAGCATGTATGGAAATTAATCAAACCTCTTCCAACTCTTCCCTCTTTGACACATGGAATTTCCAAGCAAGTTGTATCAATGGTCTACGTTAAGGGCCATCTCAAGTGGGAGCCATAAAAGTGTTTTCCCATCTTTGGGGATATTGACAAGAGCTAACAAAAGGAATTTCAAAAGGTTCCACAGTCACAGAGCAACCAACAGGAAGTAAAGGCAGGAAGATTCCTCATCAACTCCGTTAGTATAGCAAAACAGCAAAATGAAAGTTATGAAGAAGTCGAGTCATTTTCTACTGGTACTTAGGTCCACCTGGACCTTATCCCTTCACTCCCCATTCATCAGCCACATCCTTTGTGTCTTGCCTGCCCTGCTGTGTGACATGCCACGATAATCATGTATATTCAGCTTCATCAACTACTGTCAGCTTGGGAAGACGACAGTTTCCTTGAGGTCAACCTCCTGTCTCAGAACAAATGACTAGACTTCACCAGCATAGAATGGCTTTTTGATAAGAAGAAATTTCTCCATTTCTTTAAGTATCCTCTGTAGAAACAGTTTATATAAAGTCCTTCGGTGACCTCAATCCCATCCACAGCTTCAGTTTATGAGATGATGACTCATTCCACATTTCTGGCTCAGAACTTTCTATCAGGCTCCAGATCCATGTTTTCAAATGCCTTGAACATCCCAAGGGTTGCTTGAACTTGAACTCACCTCACTGCCCCCCATTTCTGTCCTAAATCTAAATTTTAGTAAATTATAGCATTACACATCCAATGGTGGGTTCACAAACCAGCAACTGGAAGCATCCACAGTAGGTGAGGCACGAGCAGGCTGGCTTTGGTCTGCTGGAATCTGGTTTATTTGAAAGTAATGCCAAGACACAGCTTCCTCTTGCTCTCTCACCCCAGGCAATTGCTCTTGCCTTGGCTGTGTCCTGCAGGCTGCCTCATTCTCCTCTCCTGCCCCTGCTTCTACCCACCTGGAATCACTTCTCCAGGTCATACAAAGCACCTTTGCCCCACACAAGGATTCAAGCAGGCTGACCAACAGAAGTCATCTTGAGGAACTTGTAGAAACTATAGATTCCCACCCTCTGATTCAGGGAGTCTAGGTTGAGACTTAATCCAACCTGGGGACCATCAGAGAATTCAGTCTGAGCCCTAGTGCACAACATGAAAAATGTTCTGTAACTCCCACAAGTTTGGAGTACTGTTCTCACAAGCACTGATGGCACTACGCACGTGCATCACACACATGCACAAATGCATCCACACACATGCACAAATACAAATGCATACATTTTAGTCATACTGTCACTGTGCCCAGGGCACCTTCAGTTGTTTCTACAAATAATCATTGAGTAAACAATCATCCACTAAGCCATTCGGAGCTCCCAGCTCTGCTCCCACCTTGCCAGACCCTTCCCCCTTCTCCCTGATGACCACGGCAACCTCCTAACTGGTCTCCCTACCTCTGGGCTGCCCTCTACACTTCTGACTTAGTGGTCTTTGGAAATGCGGATTGAAGTCACCAAAGTGCCTTGACCCTACGTAAAGCTCAAACTTCTCAGCTCTGAAAACAGTGCTTGCCCAGTATCTGGGGCTTCATCTGGTCTGCCCTCCGACAGCCACTCCTCATTGTACCCTCACCATAGACATCTTCATATCTAAATCTTACACACGTCCATGCCTAAGTATTTGTCCCTAGGTGGGATTATTTTCTTAACTTAAAATGAAATTACTAGGATGAAGGTATGAGTATTTTAAAAATCACTTTTCTGCAAGGAAATACTAGCTTACACTCCCCCCTGGAGTCTATGGGATGGTCTATTTTACTGCCCCCTTACTAGTTTTGGAGATGATCTTTAAAAAACAAACAAACAAGAAAAGCAAAACAACAACAAAATAAAACACAGTGTTGCTGATTTGATAGATTATCATTATGCTTTTAATTTTCAATTCTTTGGTTATTGGTAAAATTGACCATTTTTCACACGTACTATCCGTTTTTATTTCTTCCTCTGTGATCTGGGCTTTGGCCGATTAAGTTTTATCTTTCTCCGGTAAAAACTTGTTTCAAATCCTATAGCTCCAAAGTGTGGTCATTGAGCCAGCAGCATCAGCATGTCCCAAGAACTTCTTCAGGATGCAAATTCTCAGGTCCCCACCCCAGACCTCCGGAACCAGAAACTGTGGGTGTGGGGCTCAGCGATCTGCTTTGAGTCCTCCAAAACTATAAACTGCCCTAACCCATGCCGAGTGAGGGAGGAGGCATCTGGAACCTAGGTCTAGTGCAACAAGGGAAACCCGTGAAATGATCCACCTTGCCTGGCACCAGTTGTAAATAGTACAGTGGATGAGACTGCACGCTCTGGAACTAGCTTGCCTGAGTTTTAACCTGACTCTGCCAGTTACTAACTGTGTGATCTTAGACTTAAGCTCTCTGGGCATCAATGTCCTCATCAGTAAAATGGGGATAATATAACCCACATCTTAAGAGTTGTTTTATGAATTAAGGTTTCAATACATGCCACGTACTCAGTGAGGCAGCGTCGTTGTCTGGGGTAATTATCCAACGTTTGTCATCTCACGCCAGGGAACTTGAGGACGCAGACACACAAGAAGTGGGTTTAGGAGCGGAGGTTTAATAGGCAAAAGAAAGAGAAAGGAGAATAGCTTTCTCTCTCGCAGAGAGAGAAGGGCGCCCAAGTGGGACTTCCAGTCGGTGGCGAAGTGCATAGGGTTTTTATAGACTAGCTTGAGGCGATGGTGTCTGATTTACATAGGGCTCAAAGATTGGTTGAACCAGGTGTGACATTTACATAGGGCATGATAAAGCTGGCCACCCCATCCTAATCTTTTCATTATGCAAACGGATTTTCTACCTGGGGGGCGCCATCTTGTTTGCTCCTTACTGTTCATGTGGTTGACAAAGAAAAGGCAAGATGCAGCCACCATGCTGAACATGCCTAGCTCCCAGGTAGCCTTTTCCTATTGGCACAGCTGCGGGTATGCACCCGTGCAAGCTTCCAGCATGCTTATCTATGTCTGTAGCTCAATTTTACAGGCTGCTCGTTTGCTCAAAGAAATGATTTGGGGGCTGCTTTTTATTAAAAGGAAAACCTTACCGAGGACTTCCTTACCCTCACTATCTGCCTAAATAATTCATTTTTAGCCACTATATCATTAGCACAGTTCCTAGCACATAGCACTTAATACTTATTTTAGGGTCAACTGTGGCCATTTAAATTATCACGAGCTTGTGAGCCTCATTCTTCCACTCTATATTTTCTTCCTTGTCTTCCAGGAAGCTTCTGGAAAAAAAATTAGGCTAGCTCTTAAAGAAACAAGGCTCAATCTTAAAGAAACTTGGCTGTTAGAAAGCAAGAGTTTTAATAATAAATATAAAATTGAATGCACCTCCTTTTGTTCCTTCCCTGTAAAAATGCTTTTCTTTTTTTTTCCTTCCATTGATCCAGCCCAGCCTTCCCAAACTACACATCCTTCTTCTGCTCATTCCTCTCATATCAGTGGTTACACAAAGAACAGAAAACACAGCAAATCCAGAGGAACATTATTGAATTCATTTTAGGCACACCAAAAACTTGTTGTATTAGTTTAAAATGGGTTTATAATTCTAAACCATTTTATATCATTCTACCTCTTATAGCAGTTTTCTTATCAGAGACTGGTATGAGTAATATTTTTAAGAGGATGTCCCATCATCAATAAGTTTGTGAAATTCCTCATAAAGTAGGGTAGATGAGTTACCTTAATATTAATGTGGATGATGCGTGTTCATGGGTGAGAAGTCATGAGCAGGATTCCCCGTCTTTTGACTCTACCTCCCTCTCACTTTGTAAAGGATCTCATAGCATTAGCATTCCAGAGAGAACATTTTGGGAAATGTCTTATAGGAAAAAGGAAAATATTTCCAGGTTTTGGAAGAATTGTTGGTGAACAGATTAAAGGAAAACCTATTACTGTATGAGTAAGTCATTATGTATAAGAAAAAGATTTTTTTTTTCTCTTTAAAGAAGTAGCAAACAGGAGGTGTTTTCCCTGTCTCCAAAGAAATACAATGAATTTAAAATGCTTTAGGAAAATGAACTGAATGTGCTTCTGCTCACTCTACCCCACAAAAAATGCTCATGAGATATCTATTTAGTATCTTCCCAAAGGAGAGACTTCCCGAGTGTGTCCAAGAGTGGGCCATTATTGGAGAGTCATGAACTGGTGATCCTTTAATATTATTCTCCTCTCCATGAATATTTCCAGATATTGACCTTGGTGATAACCTGCTCTTACCTAGACTTCCCATTTTTCCTCCTTAAAAAAATTGAAAATGTAATAATCTTAACTTTTCTCTTTCTCTCTCCCTCTCCTCTCCCCTTTCCTTCTTCATTTTCCCACCCCGTGTCTTTTCCCTTATCCTCCAGGAACCTTCTGCATCATTTCACTGTGCACCTGTGTGGCCGGGATCAACTTTGAGCTGTCACGTTACCCACGCTACTTGTACGGACTCCCTGATGATATCAGCCATGGCTATGGCTGGTCCATGTTCTGTGCATGGGGGGGCCTGGGCCTCACACTCATCTCGGGATTCTTCTGTACCTTGGCCCCTTCTGTTCAACCTGTCCCGAGGACCAACTGCCCTAAATCCAGACCCGAGAATGGGACAGTGTGCTAAAAAACAAACCCATACATACATATATATATATATAAATATATATATATAATATACATATATAAAACAAAACAAAACTAAATCAAGACGATGCCAGTGCCAAGGTAGAGTTGAGTTGGCTCAGGCACCTGCATCTCGCCGGACTTTGTGTTGCCTCATCTCTGAGATGGGGAAAGTGTTTCCATCCTGTGGCTCTTCCATCGGTTCTTGACTTTTGGCTTCATGGTCTCTTGAAGACAGAGCGAACACCACCACTTGCGACCGCATCTTGATCCCCATCACTGGCGAGGACGGGGTGGTGAAGGGACAGTGGCAGGGGTCTGAGGCAGCACAGATGTAGAGAAGTAAGTGCCACCCACTGGGCCAACAGGAGAGGACGCCACCCCTAACCAGTCATATCACAGGGTAACAAAGCCCTTAGTTCCTAGAATGTAACCAAATCATTGAGGCCATTTTCAGAATCACTTCTTCTCCTGCTCTTCCTGTTCGGACTTCCTTCCCAGCCCACCAGCAACACACAAGGAGTGGAAGAGAAAACAAACTGAGAAGAACGTTTTCTCTTTGCTACTAAACCTTTGGACAATGTTTCATAGGTGGGAAGGGAAGAGAACATGCTGAGAGGCAAGATCTGCATCAATGAAAGGACGCTTCGGTGGATGCTCAGACAACCCAGTCTTACCTTCCAGCTGCCTTACACCCAGTGAAACAAGAGGCCACCCTGTCCCCAGCCGCACCTGCACTCCCTGGGCATTCTGGAGCCTTGGAGTCATGCTGTGATGTGTGTGTGCGGGTGTGCGTGCATGTGTACTTTGGGCAGTTTCCTTTTTTTCTTTTCTACCTTTTAAATGGAAATACTGCATTATGACTGTTGTCTCTCTATCACTGTAGTGGTTTCATGGCCCCAGATAGAGGCCCAGAGACCTAGAAATTGTCATGAGGGACAGGCCTATAAGGGTGCCAATTCTGCAGCTACAGATCCCTGGAGCGGTGTGTGCGTGCGTGTGTGTGTGTGTGTGTGTGTGTGTGTGTGTGTCTGTGCGGTGGATGTTTCTTGAGCGTGGGGTCTTATTGTTTGTGTTGTGTTTTTTAAAATTATTGTTTTTGGTATAGCTGAAATTTCCAGAGGGCAGAACCAAGAACAAAGCCACTGGGCCAGAGGACCCCCATGGTTCTCCACATTACAGCTCTGGGACTCTGCATGATTTAGTCCTCTAATTTTGGAAGTTCAAGACACAGCTGGGCACATAGGCCATGAGAGAAGAGGGGGAACACACGGTTCGGGAGGGAGAAGGAATGTTGCTCTGGTTGCTGTTGTACAAGAACATACACCAACAAGACCTTCACTCCCCATTATAGAAGCTGTCCTTTGTCACTTGACATCTCCCCTTTCCCTAGGGGTGACCTCTGTACAAGCGAAAGGAAGTAGGTCACATGCAGAGAGAGCACGTCCATTTCCCATGGGCTCAAGTTTGTATGATATTGTGTAAATTAATGCAGAACTCTTGACTCTTTCCATCCTCTTCCTTTCCCTCTTGATATTCAAGGCCATGAATCCCAAAATAACAGTCTTAGTGGCTAGCACCCAAACAGAGGTGGAATAAATCCACCCCAGTATCTTGGGCTCATTTGAGCAAATTAGCACTGCAGGTGCTGGCAAGCAAAGTCAGCCAGAGAGTTGCGAACACTGTAGGGGTGGGAGTCTGCAGGAGTGGGCTGGAGCCACTCACAGTCATCTCAGTGACCCTGCTGGTGCCCAACAGCCCTGGGGAGGCCAGGTGAGAATCCCTGAGCTGGCATAGCCGTGGTCAGCTGTATAGCAGAGAATCCCATTGTTTCATAAACAAATATGCTTTGGGAGCTTTGCCAAGCACTCAGCAGCCTTCCTTCCACGGCTGTGTGATCCGTTTCATTTACCTGTCTTCCAACCCATCTTCCTACCACCCTCCTCCTTTTCTCACCTACTAACCACTTACCTTCTCTCTCTTTTATCTTCCACCCTCATCTGCTCCTTTGAACTGTGTGTGTGTAATTCATATCTGGATATGATATGACATCTGATGTGCATGAATGGGATTGAATGTGGGTCTCTCTGTATGTGTATCTCTCTGGTGCATTTTGTGTACGTTTGTGTCAGTACACACCTGCACACAGGTGTGGGTGCACTCCTCAAGACTTCCTTACTGGGGACGCTGGTCAGCATCTGCAAAAGGTCTCATGTGTGAGTTCCCTGTGTGTGGGTGTGTTGGGCGATAGGGTAAGGTGTGCAATGGGAAAAGTTGTTAGCTTCCAGTTGGGGTTCTAAGGATTATTTTTAAAATAAATGATTTATTCTGTGAGAAGGGAAATAATTTTCAGGAAAACCCAGTTTTTAAATTGGGCATTTTATTTCTAATTTTCTTTGAAAAGAGATTTCTCCCTTAAGGGGAAGGGCATACTTGGGCTTAAGGAAAAGTGAAGAAAAGTATCTCAGATTGAGAGGCCTTGTGTCTTCCTTCCAAGTGTCCTGAATGGGCTCTCCCAAGGAAGGGACAGACAGGTGTTCACAAGCATCCATTTGGGGAAGAGGGCTTGTCTATGACCACACTGAAATTCCAGCTTTTTTCCAGTTGCAGGAGAGAGGGCAAAAATTCTAAATGGGGAAATTTGCTATGAACCATTTAAACTTTTTGTAAGTAACCATGTTTGAGGATGCTGGCTACAGACCTATCATTATTTATATCCTCTTTAAAAAAAAAAAATCCTATACTTTCAATGAATAGATTATCTGCTGTATCCAATTACTATCTTTGTGACAGACATTTAGCAAAGTTTACTGCATCCCTTTGAAACCCTGAGAGTTCCTGAAATTTTAGAAAGCTCCCAGGAAAGATGTAAACAACCTGGGCTCAACTCACCAGCCCAGAGCAGGGACTTTGAGTGACTTCTTTGATAGTGGGGCCAGATAAGTACAAACACACTTTGGGATCTGATCCTGCTGGGAAACAAAACACGCCCAGCCACATGACCAGGATAGAGGCCCCATTCAGAGGGCAAGTCCTGGCCAGTGGGAGGACTTCTCAGGTGCCCTTGATCCCTCTAGCATAAGGGCTTGATCACAGATTAAAACATCTGACTCCAACCAGTTACAGAAGCTTTCTGTCTGTGAGGTAGCTGAGGGAGATGAGGAGGAGGAAGACAAGAGCCTTGACTTGTGAGGCTCTGTCGGTCAGACTCTGCTAACCCTGAATCAAAGTAGAACCCAACCTTATGAGGGCATTTAGGGTCAATGACCTCACTAAAGTCACCAGCCCCAACCCCAGGTCAAGTTCAAACTTCTTACTGGCATATGAACATGTATGTGCTTTGAGCTCCATGCAAGTCAACCTTGAGCCTGGGACCCATTGCAACTTTTATTTCCTTCACTACTCTACTACATTGGGATTCAGGAAAGTGAGGTATTCTACTTAGAGAGAGGCCCCATATCTTTTTCTCCTTATTTTGGGAGTTATGGTTTCTTCTTCTGTTTCCGTTTCCTCTCCCTCCACTCACTCCTACTTTCCTCCTGCATCAACTTGGGTCAATTAAGATAGATAAGTGATTCATCTGTAGAGAGGCTCCTAGACTCCAAGCAGCCCCCTTCCTTGTTCATTGTGGCTGTAGGTTTTATAAGGAGGTCTGTGGCTCCCTGGCATCAAAATATGAAAAATAAAATCTGTGCCTGTTCCAGCTTCAATCCTCCTCCAAGCCTTAGCTTTTCAACAACCCTACCATTTCAACTTCAGGGATTATGGAGTCACAGAGACTGGACAACTCCTCCAAATCTAGACAAAGACTTCCCTAAGCGCCCCGAGCCCAGGTGCATATCTTCCCATCAGGGATGAGTGGTCCCACCAACAATGCTTGCCTCTCCTGTGACAAGAGGGAAGGATATCCCAAGACTCTGAGACTGAACCCTATATCTCAATATTCATCCACACTCATGATAAGATGCTGGAAACAAATGCACTATGTGTAGCTGTCTTGATTCGGTGGGAGGATGTGCTGCTTAGGTCTCCAAAGATGCCCACCTGGGTCAAATTCAGAATAATGAACTCAGGTACATCACCCAGAGGCATTTAGAATGGACTCTCTCTTCACCTGGATTATGCGCTGAGTGGTAACTGATTTTTCAAATATCCGGGGGAAGGAGTGGGAAGAGATACACTGTGGTCATCCTTTGGTGTGGTTTGTGGGGGATACTTGGTTGATTCTTGTAGTTAAAGTGAAGCTGCTTTTCTGAAAATGTTCCCTGTCTTCAGGGGACTCATCCATCCCAGGGGACACACCCAGCCCTTTCCAGGGAAATACGATGTTTCCGAGTGAGAGGTGATTTCAGTGCAAATAGAAAGAGCTGGTGCACACCAGCGGGGTTGCCTTCCATGCCATCTTCCAGCTGGTGTGGGATAGAGTAAGGGGGCAGATTTTTAAGAACCCCACCAGAGTTGACATACACATGTGATTCTGGTGTCTGTCTCTCAAAGCTCTCAATGTCTGGTGCTGTGTTTGCCCTCTTTTCATTGATGCTGCCATGATGCAAAATGTTTCTTAAACATTATTCCTAGTTCTTAGAATATGTGATTACTGAGTATTGGATTTCTTTCCTGAATAATACCTGCTCATTGTAGAATATAACAAAAATAAAATACAAAAAAGACTACAAGATTGTTCATAATCAGATCACTCTGAGGCATCTACCATGGGCCCAATCCAAATGGTCATGACCTCAAAACTTCCCCAATGAGTGCTTGTCTCTGGGTTGGCAGCTGGGTCCACGTGAGCAGTGCACAGCCACAGAACCACACTGGTCTGCGTCAAGTTAACCCTGTGTTCCTGGTAGCAAGAATGCAGGGCCCTGAGCCCCCACAGATAGCAAAGAAGCCTAAAAGTTTAATGCCGGACCTTAGGGGCAGGATGGAGCAGCGCTAAAAGATTTCTATTTGGGCATGTCTGCCTGCTTTTCTTCCTCTCTTCCTTCCTTCTTTCCTTCCTTTTCTTTCATTTTCTCTCTCTCTTTTTTTTTTTTGGTCAGATGCTATCTCAATATAATCATAGAGGTAAGAATGCTGAAGCCAGAGTAACTCACTCATTAAGCTACGCTTGTTTAACAGTTACTGTAAATTTCACTACAGCTCTGCATTGAAATGATTTGTGACTCGGGGCACTGTGTCTTCTCCATACTTGAACTTCCTCATCTACAAAATGAGGATAGTGATAACACCTTACCTCATGGTATATTAAGGGTGACAAAGAAATTGCAAAGTGATTTGCAAACATGAAGTGTCATATGAGTTATGTATCCTCTAATTCCCTCACAAGACCCCCTGCTGGAATGGAATTCTCGCATCAAGTGTCTGTGCCTCGCTGCTGAAGGATAACCCAGAGTGCAAGGTCATCTTTGTTGCTGAACAGGGCTGGACCTGTCCCACTTCAGCACACTTAAATTCAGGTCCCCCAGAGAAATTAGTTCCTTATTTTACTTTACCTATTCCTAGACTTCCTTTTGTCCAGAGCCAGTTTTGCAAAGGGCACTTTTATCCATCTCAATTATTCGCAGAGGTGACAGAATGAGTAAACCATATGGGCAAATAGCATATATGAGCTAAACCAGCTAACTATTAACCAAGGCACATGGTCAATGCCTTAGTATTTTTTTTTAATTCTCCTAACGTTATTTCCAGCTGTACATTCCCAAATGGAATGGGTGGAAGCAAATCAGATTCTGAAAGGTTTCAATGATCTTTCAAGTTTAGGGTGAGACCAAGTCTCAAGGAACTAGGATCTTCTTTCTCTTGTCAGTTGCTGAAGCCAGTAGCTTCATCAAAAACATATGAATTCATATAAGGAAGCCCTTTAGATGGTATATTCACTAAGACATGTCTGGGTGTGATCCTGTTTGGGAAAAACAGAATCCTAGGTTCTAAACAAGAAAAGAACGCCCTTCCCAAAGGGTCTGCACATTCTCTGCTTCGCAGCCGATCAAGTGTCCATGTGAGGGTGAGACTTCCTCCAAGGAAAGGGAAGCCATTGCTCTCTCTATAGATAGAGCCCAGCTGGTAACGGGGGAGCCACCCAACTGCAGGGGGGTGTGTGTTCAGGTGTGAAAAACAGAAAACTGGGTCTGAACATGAAGAGTTGCACAGCAGTAGCTCGAAGAAGCTGGCATCTCTTTGGCAAACACCAATCTCAGCAAATGCAACTCCCACACTTCATTCCCAAGGACCAGGTGTTGCTCCTTAAGGAACTCTGTATCCCTCTCTCCTCTCTAGAACCCCATGCTTCCCACTGGCTGAGCTTTTCCTTTCCTTTCTGGGTCACCCATAGACCCTCTCCAATCCGTCTGTACCAGTGCGTCTGTGTTGTGAGCGTGACCAAGCCTTTCCTGTGAAGAGCTTTCACGAACTCGTTCTCATACTCCTTCCCCATTTCCACCCATGGTGTGACTGTTTTGCTATTCAAGACTATCTGTAAAAATGTACAAATAAAAGTGTAAACTGAAAATAAAGGGGAGGGAGAGTGAGATTAAACAAATGCAATGATGTAGCCCTTAGTTTTCTGAGGACTTATGTGGACGGCCCTAAAATCCTGACTTGGGGTGGGATTTGAAGGGAGGGATGCCACTGACACAGGAAGTTTTTTTCTGGTTGTTTCTCCCACAGTCACCAGTGTCTGCTTAGAACTCTCTGTTCTAAAGGTTTTTCCCTGTAAAGTAAAATGTACTTCCCCCAAAATAAAAGTAAATCAGCAATGTTTGAAGGGTCATGGCAAGGGTCATGACAAAGACCTGACTCTGGGGTGGCATGAGTGGCCCTGTCACCGGCTCACTCGGGGGCTTGGGGGAGTCTCGTTACCTCACTTTGTCTCCACATCTTCTCAGCCAAATGGGGATCAGGAGCTTCTAGGGCTCCTGGGGTGCCCAGTCCCCTTGTGTATTTTGCTGCTATTTTTAGAGAGACTTTGAGCCCTTGCCAGTGTGTGCTTACTGCGTGGAGGTAAATTAGGAGACATTTTCTCTCTGCTCCTCCTGGCCCCTGCTTTCGCCCCTCAGAAAGTGACCTCGAGCTAACATCCAGTTTGCACTCAGAGTCCAGAGCCTTCTATCTACCTTTTCATTCTCAGATTCCTTTTCCCACCTGCTTTGACGATCTCATTTTACTGTCTATCTCTACTGACTGAGCTTTGCTGCACTGGGCTGGGGTAGGAGAAAGAGCCTCCAAGGAGATGACGCGTGAATTGCTTTGTAATTTATGACTCACCATGTAAATGTGGCTTGCAGTGTCAGAAGCAGGGAGTCTGGCTAAGGAATGCTACCAAATAAGAATGAAGACGGCAGGGGCAGTGGTGGCATGGAGGCAGTAGGCAGAAGATGTGGGTTGGGAGCAGAGGTAAGATGAAGGGAGCTTTGGGAAGGAGAGATGGCAGAATCACCAGAAAATCCTCAGCAAAGCAGTAGAGAAGGATCCTCAAAGCAGTAACCCTGAAGTAATAGGAAGTAGGGAAGAGGAGCAGGGATTAGGTAAATCTGCTGCATAAACAACTGTGTCCCTGCAGGACTGAGAAGACCAGCTGCCCCGAAGAGTGGAGGCACATCGAGCTTGGCCAGTGACCCAACCCATGATTAGGGGCACCTTCAATCCCAACTTTCCTCCCCTCTGCTGGTTCACAGTGATGGGACCAGTTTCAGGAAGGTAGTATAGACCAGCGTCATCCAATGGAAACATGATCCAAGTCACATATGCAATTTTAAATATTCTAGTAGCCACATTTTTTAAAGTCCAAAGAAAGAGCTAAAATCAGTGAAATTAATTTTCAGACTACATTTGAACCTAACATTTCAAAAATAGTGTCACTTCAGCATGGAATCGATATAAAAAATTACTGGGATATTTTACATTCTTTTTTTCCAAATGAAGTCTTCAAAATCCAATGTGATTGTCCCCTTAGAAAACATCTCAATTTGGCCCAGCCCCATTTGCAGTGTTCAAAAGCCACACCTGACTACTGGTTGCTGTATAGGACAGCACGGACTTAGGTCCTTCATTAGAAGACTGATGGGGTGGTCCTCCCTGGTGGGTCACTCACTGACATAGCTCTTGTCATAGCTGATGAAGGCAGGATTGAGTCTTGTTGTGTTGGCCTAGAGTAGAAAGCACAGAGCTATGTCGAGGCTGCTGTCTTGGCCTCTGGAAGTTCTGCTTCACCTGCTTAGTAAGAGGAGATGACCACTCCTGTGGACTGCATGTCTCATCTGCCCCCAGAGGGTGTCGGCGCTGCCCTAGGCATGTCCCTGATGACCTGTCCAAGTACTAGAGGCCAAAGCAGGTCATATTCTTCAGCTGCAGGAATGTCAGCTACTGCCCTCACCCCTTATCCTGATCCCTTTATCATATAGTGGGGAAGGGGCAGGCAGGCCTTCTCTCTGTCAGTCTGGTCCAATCACCTGCTAAGATCATCTCACCAATATTTAGAACTGTTTTCTCAATCCCTTAATTTTCTTAAACATTTATCTTAAAGTCAAATGCTAAAAAGGAGATACCCTGGGAAGGGCAGTGGCTACAGGCACACTGGGTCTCCTAGGAGGTGGCAGTGATGGTGACAAGTTCTACCCTTGCACTGGGACTCAACCCACCATTGCCTACCTCTCCTCCCTGCCTGGAGACCTTCCTTAGGATTGAAGAAATCTCCTTTGTTTGTGAAAAAGATAAGTATCGAGATCTTAATGGAGAGAGCAGAATAAAAGGCAAGGAGCCAACCCCTGGGTAGTCTCAAAGCATTTCAACAAGTCACTATGACAAGGTTTGATTGATTTAAAATATAACATTCTGAGCCCTGTGTTACTGAGCGAAAATTAGCTGATTTGGTGGGTATGTTTTATATATGGTCGTTAGACAGGGACCATAACCGACAAAACTCTCAAACGCCTGGAGTGTTTATGGCCCACCAGATTATTGCTCAGTCAATATAAATTTATTTACCTTTAATTTGCATAGTGCTTTCTGATTGGTCAGACAAGGAGTGGTGTGTACTGCAGGATTCTAACAACGCCTCTGCCCTTGGAGGTAGCAATTCCTGTGGTTATTGGTGCTAAAATAAGATTAAATATTATGTTAATTTGTTCTGATATGATGTGAATAAATGTGTTGTTTAATCTTAACAAGAATGCTACATCTTATCAGATCTATTGTACTGTCTGTTCCTTCTCATAATTAATTAATTACAGGAAAGGTGATCCAAACCAGATCTTGAAACTATTGTGATATTCTGAGAGGTAAATTTAACAGGGAAGTGGGAGGGGGGATGAAAAGGGAAATTGCCAGGTTCCTGTGACTTTGAAAGGACTGAGGAAGCAGAAAGCATTTGGGGACTTCACTGAAACTGACTGCATCTTGCAATTTTCTTTTTCGAATTGGCAGAAATATTGTATTTCCATCGATTGAAGAAAAACAAGTGTCTGGTAATTAATTAAATGACTTGTTCATGGAAAAAATAAAAATAAATAATCTGTCAGTTGTGGAATGTAAACTGATTAAACAATTAAATAAAGAAGATTATGTTGTGTGTTTTAAAGGATTGTGTCTGCTTAGGGGTAGGGAGCAAGATGGGGGTGGGTGGAGGCTGCAGTATTTGATGGTGAAGGGCATTTTTCCCTCAGGTTCTGTATAGAAAAAAAAGTACGATTATTATGTAGATAACCAGCTGAAAACTTGAATCCAGAAGAAAATAGATAGCAAACATTTCAATCATGTGAAGGCCAAAGGTACGTGCTTTGAGCGTTGGGTGAAAGAAGAAAAAATGGAGAGGGATTCAGAAGAGAAAAAGAGGGAAACTTGTTCTTTTTTTACTATTACTGGTATTAACAACCTTTTTTAAAAGACTTTATGAGATGCTGGAATGACTAATTACATTCTAACCCCTCAACCTGTTTCCCAGTTTCCAGTGAAGAGAGAAATTTCTCTCCTAGTGTTCATCAGCTTTGTCCCTAACTTTGAGTCACAGTTCCTTTCCACCCGATTACCTCTTCAAAGGTTTGGGCTCACGCCTGGGTGGGAGGCTAAGGTAGGAGGGAAATGGACTTTAGAAGCAAGTGCTCTGTAAAGAGTGGTGTGTCTCAGCCAGCATCTCTAGTTTGCAGTGAAAGAAACTGGCTGTGTCTGACATAAGTGGGGAAGTAATTTACTGACGAGACATGGGGAGCTGGAAGCCTGTAGGAAGGAAGGCAGGAAGAAACGTGCAGCTGAGCAGCCAGAATCGCATCTCATGCTGATCTGGACCCTGCAGTCACTGCCTCTGGACTTCATGGGCACCACAGCTCGCCTGGCTGCTGCTACTGCCCTGAGGCTGTGTGGCGCTGCTTCTGCCGCCATCTCCACTAGGATGAATCCCCAGGGCCCTTCTTATCTCAGGCAGTAGCTCCGGTGTCAGACTCCCACATGGGTGCACCATCTAAGGAGCCTGAGAAAACAAGTTTAGAACCTTTTAATCTTCTCTCTTGAGTGGTGAGCTCTGCCTCCCACCAAGATGCATGGAATAGACAATTCCCCAAACCTAGATCTGGGCAGCCCAAAAGAAGAAATGTCCATTACAGGTGGGGTGGCTGAGGGAGAGGAAGGATACCTGAATGAGAGGTATATTGCTGCATCTCCCTGTGGTGGATCTCAAGGGTGGCCAAGTGGGTGTGACATAAACCATGACAGTGATTAGTGTCATGGCTAGTAGCCTCTGTGGAAAGGTGGGCACAGTGCTGGACCTTGCACAAGAAGACCTGCGTGGATTTACTCTGATACAGAGTAATATCAGCTGTGGAACTTTTTTAAAAGGGGCATCCTGGAGGTAACAGAAACAGTAAAGCAGTTCAAAAGTAAGCACAGGTGAGGGCAGGTGCCTTACAGAATAGATGAGGGGAGGGTTTTACAAGTGGAAAAGAACTTGAAGAAATGGGAGAGCCCCACCCCACCTTGGTAGCAATGTCCCTTAGAAGAGAGAAAGAATGGAAATACCACTGATCTTAAGTAGTGAGCAAGACTTTCCACCCTTGCACCTCCCAGGGAAAGCAGGTGGAATTAAAGAGTGTCTGCCCCAGCCTGGGCAGGGGTGAGGAGGATGGGGAAGACATTCTCACCAGATCCTGGGACTTCTATGCTGCAGCATTGTGACCTGAGGGGTGGATGCAGTTGCCAGCAACACTTTGAGGCAGAAGGCCCCGATGCTCTGTGGACAGCCTCAGGTAAGCCACAGGAGACATTCTGTTCTCCTTTTTCCAGTGCAGCACCACTTTGATTTCCGTGTCTGAAATGAATTATGCAGTCCACAGAGTTTAGCAGAGACCTGGGTTTGCGGGAAACACACCCACTCCTCCTCACCTTAGCTTCGGAGCCTCTGGGCGCAAATGTTCCTAGTGAGAGCTGTTAAATAATTGCAGACAGTCTGTTCCAAGAGCAGTAACCAGATCCTCAAAATACCCAGGGTGGTTCGCAGAGGGCAGTCTCCTCCAGGAAGCCTTCCTTCCTGAACACCCACCTGGGCAGAGGGCTCTTTCCCTAGCCCTGTGGCAGCATGCTGTGTCTCTCCTGGTGCTTAGCACCTCTGGATGAAAGTATTGCTTTCCTTGGGATCCTTGCAGGCACTAAGGTGTCTTGAAGAGCAGGGATTCTGACTTACTCATCTTGGTATCCCAACAACTAGCAGCACCTGGTGAGCAGTGAGTGTTCAACAGGTGCTGACTGGTCTGAACCAAACTAAAGCCTTCCCCAGTCCACCTCTGCAAGTTGATTCTTAATGGCGGGTATTAAGTTCTTCTTTAGAGATCCCCAAGACCACCCTCGGATTCAGTGATTTGTCTGAAGGATTGACAGAACTCAGAAGAGCTACTATACTCAGGGTTATGGTTTATTACACAGGAAAGATACAGATTACAATTAGCATAGGTAAAAGACACATAGGGCAGGGTTCAGGGGAGACCAGATGCAAGCGTCCAGTTGTCACTTCCAGTGGATTTCAACAGACAGCACTTAATTCTCCCGGCAATACCTTGAGACAACATGGAAGAAGCAGAAGCACTGGCGATTGGGAAGCTCACCTAGGCTTGGTGTCCAGGGATTTTTTGGGGGCTGGGAGGGGTGGGTGTTAGTCACCTAGGCATGAAGTACCTATGTGGCTAACCTTAGTTACTCAGTCTCCAGCCCTGTCAGAGGTCAAAATGATAACCCATGGCCAAGGTCTCCACCATAAGTCACATTGTTAGCATCAACTGTCTAGCATGACCCAAGGTACAACAGGTGAACAAAGCCATTCTCATCAGGCAAGGTATTCTAAATGATCTATGGAGGTAATTTAGAAGTTATCTATCTCCAGGAGCCAAAGGCCAGAGCTCCCTTGGGATGGGTAGAGTTGGAGTAACCCAACCCTCTACTACACACTAAGCTATGTGATGAGTCACAGCAAACAAAACACACTTCCTGTCCACATGAGAGTTCCTCCCAGGTATCCTAGATTCCTTCTCTTTCCCTTTGACCCTCTACAGACAAATCCAGCCATGGCCCTCTTTCCCCGGGGAAGACCATTATGTCTAGCGGTCTCCTTTCTCTCTGGTTCTTCTCAGGCAGCTCCATGCACCCTTCATAAGAGGTTGGAGACAGGGGGATGAGAGTGGAAAGAGCACAGTACCTGATTCTTTAAGCAGGTCTGGATTCAAGTTCTTCCCCATATAAATTGTGCCAGTTGGCCTCCTCAACCTGTGTCTTGTGAAAATAGGTATTCCAACACCTCAGTCCCATACCACCTTAGAAAATGGAAGAGTTAGCAAACATGAGAGTGCCTGGCCCAGAATCATTATTCAATAACTGTTAGCCTCCCTTCACCTCCTGTGCAGAGTTTTGTCCTTTTCCTTTATCAAGCAGATTCTACATCTTGCCTTTCTTTTTTTTTTTTTTTTTTTTTTTTTGAGGTGGAGTCTCACTCTGTCTCCCAGGCTGGAGTGCAGTAGCAGGCTCTCAGCTCACTGCAAGCTCCGCCTCCCAGGTTCAAGTGATTCTCCTGTCTCAGCCTCCTGAGTAGCTGGGATTCCAGGTGCCCACCATCACGCCTGGCTAATTTTTGTATTGTTAGTAGAGACGGAGTTTTACCATGTTGGCCAGGCTGGTCTCAAACTCCCAATCTCAGGTGATCCACCCACTTCGGCCTCCCAAAGTGCTGGGATTATAGGCGTGAGCCACCACGCCCAGCCTGAGAAGTATTCTTGAACTGACACCTGTTCAGTGTTTAGTGTCCCACAGGTACCCCACTCACTCACCACACCCAAAGCTGACAACAAATGTACAGTGGATACATTAATATTTTAAGTGAAAACACATTTATTGTATTCAATCACTGTTTAGTCTTTGCAACTATCCTATACAGGTATACAGTTATGCGTAATAAAATCATGCTTTGAAATATTTTTAATTCAGGAGAGAAGAAAATCTGGGATTGAAGGTACTCATTCTCTCCGCAGAACCTTCCTTTGCTAGGAGTGATAGAAATGTTCTGGAACCTTGCTACTCCTCCACAGATGGTTCTTGGACCAGGAGCATCAGCATCACTTGGGATCTTGCCAAAAATGCAAAATCTTAGGTCCAACCTCAGATCTACTGAATCAAAATCTTCATTTTAACATGATCCCCTGAGGATTTGTGTACACTGGTCTGGAACATTCATTTACCTAGGTGTGGTTTGAAAGATTGCTTCAACACTTCTGCTAGTTTTTTTGTTTTTGTTTGTTTGTTTGTTTGTTTTTGAGACAGAGCCTTGCTCTGTCGCCCAGGCTAGAGTGCTATGGCTTGATCTTGGCTCACTGCAACCTTGGCCTCCAGGGTTCAAGCGATTTTCCCGCCTCAGCCTCCCGCGTAGCTGGGACTACAGGCGCACACCACTACGCCTGGCTAATTTGTGTATTTTTAGTAGAGACAGGGTTTCACCACGTTGGCCAGGCTGGTCTCAAACTCCTGACTTCAGGTGATCCGCCGGCCTCGGCCTCCCAAAGTGCTGGGATTACAGACGTGAGCCAGGTTCAGCTGCTGGTATATTTTATCTAGAATAATGATCACATAGGACTTCAAAAGACAATGAAAAAATAATGATCAGTCTGAAGTTTCAAAGCCACATCAGAAAAAGTATCAATTTAAACTAATGTCCATAGAAAAACCCTTCCTGCTGAATCTAACTGGTTTTTAGGGTAAGTACCAGGGGAACAAGGCCCAGTGAGCAGGTGTCAGGGAAGCATTAACCCTATAGTAGCCTCAGCGCAGGTGTGCGTCAGACCACACCGGTTTCAATCACCACGGGAGAGCAGGCTTGGGTAGTCCCAGCAGAGGAGCTTGCTTTTGCCTGTTTCTGAGAAAGCCCGGACCATGTGACCAAGTAGATCTGAAGGTTGAGGGAACTGGAAGCCATCATCCTCATCGTCACCTCTTTTGTGTTCTTTGTAAGCTAGATTGCAAAGATTTCATTCATGACAGTTTAACTCATGGTTACACGCAAGGACTCTGGAGTCAGACCACTCGAGCTCAAACTTGGCACCACCTGCTAGTGTT